CGAGAGGTATTAGAGCGTGTTAATATCTTTCAGTACCAACTTAGAATAGCAATCTCAAATTACATCAACTCATAAGCAGGTTAAATGACAACATTGGGAACTAGAACTAGAAGCACTTTTACAAATTGTTCACAAATCTATTTCATTTTCTGCATGTTTCAAAGTTAATTGTTATTTCTTTTATTATTTGACTTTTGCAAACAAAGCCCCCATCTGTGACCAAAGTACCTTGTGCAAAAAGGTATAGACTGTTTGCAACTACGGACTTCGAGGACGAAGTGTAGTTCAAGTGGGGGAGAGTTGTAACACCCAGAATTAGGTATGTCTTGAAACTCTCCATAAAACTACATTTTTGCATGATAGGTCCTTTGAGTACATTGGACGTACTTAAGTGTACGCTTAGCGTACTATGCATGGATTGTCGCGGGGGAAACTGGACGTACGTTGGGCGTACGTGCCAGAGATCCAAAACCTTAATTCTCGGACAAGAGGCCTATTTAAACGACCTTAAGTCCCTTTGACTTAACCCTAGAGAGCCTCCACAACCTTAGAACGTCCTTACACTCCAGAGAACCTTGTGAGACCATTTTGAGCTTTAAAAAGTGCATTTGTGGCCCTTTTAGTGTTCATTTAAAAAAGAAGAGGAGGTTGAACAAGCTTGGAATGAGTTGGTGCTTCAAGATCCTGCATCATAGTTATCTTGCAAAGCTTCTGGGGTAAAAAGCTTGGATCTTTCATCCTAAATCTTTAGATCTAGCTAGGGTTTCTTGTTTTGTCCCTTTAGTTGGTCTTGGACCCTTTTCTTGTGAGTTGAGCAACTCCAAAGGATGGAGATGACAAATCTGAGGTCCCTTAGTCTTTTTCCAGCATAAAAATGGAGTCTTGATGGGAGTTTTGACCTCATGCATGGGTTAAGAGCTTCAAAAAGGTCTTAATGAGGATGTTGGGATCATATGGGTCATGCAAAGGCATAAAGTTGCCAACTTTATGCCTTGGGTCGTCTTAATAGGCCTAGATCTGACTTCTGGACGTAAAGGAATCGAGCATTACGCACTTAATGGAAAAAGATTCTTAATCCGTTAGTACGTCGGGCGTAAATCTGCATACACCACACGTAAGTCCCCGAGCTCAGTACGTTGTGCGTACCAAGGGGTATGTTGAGCATACGCATTGCAGATGGGCCCGAATCTGTTTTGGGCCTTTGAGCCTTTGGGCCTCATGTGGTTATTGGACTAGGTTACATTTTGTGAATTATGGACCATTTTATCTGTTAAGGGTCATGAACATATTGGTTGGGCCTTAATGAGCCAAAAGGCCCATTAATGATCTTGGACTTGGACTTCGGGCCCATAGCAAGTAAAGGATATTTGGGCCTCATAGAAGGGTTTGGAGTTCGGTTTTCCTTTGAATAATTAAAGTCCTAGCATTAAGTAATATTGATATCCAGCACGAGAGGTTGTAGAATATTAGGAGAGCAACTTGTGTATTCAGCAGACAGAGGTGAGTCTTCTCACCATACCAATGGGTCTAAGGCACCAAGGCCGACCCATTAAATGATAGTTAATATACTTGCGTGTAGATTCATGTAGTATAATTTTGTGATAATATGTGGTAGAGACAACCTCTATGGCAAGCAGTAGAGATAGCCTTCCGGGCTAGGGTAGAGGTGGCTATTATAGCCGCAGAAGAGATGACCGCAAGGTTGATGGTAGAGATAGCCGTAGGGCTAGTGGTAGAGATAGCTTGGTAGCTAAGATGGTATGCGATATGTTGTAGAGTTAGCTTATATGGCTGAGATGATATGTGTTATGTGGCTTATGTGTGTGGGTATGCTCTAGGGAACTCACTAAGCTTTCAAGCTTACCGTTTGTGGTTTTGTTTCAGGTAATTTTGTGCCCAAGGGCAAGGGCAAGGCGTGCACTCTGTCTCTTTTTCACTGATATGTCTTGGGGACACTCTGATGTTTTCTTTTAAATAAAATTGTAATGAACATGGATTTAAAAAAAATTATGATTGGGATTTCATGACTTATGCAAAAGTGGTTGACTATTTTAAAATAAACCTTAATTTTTTGGTAAAAGAAAAAAGAATTTATCTAGTCCAAAATGTTGTACATGACTTATTAATTATCACCAAATGAATTATGTAATATTACTTGCTAGTTAAAAGTATTATTTTCTAGAAATAAATAATTTTCGATTAATTATAAGAACTTATTGAATGATTATTAAAATCAATTTCTAATAAATAATCAATTATATCAAGTTGTTGTTAGTGTGACCCATTAGTATCATATATTAATTAGAAATATCACTTTAATATGATTCTTGAGCTGACAAGTTCATTTAATATATATATATATATATATATATATATATATATATATGTGTGTGTGTGTGTGTGTGTATGTGTGTGTGTGTTTGTGAATTTATATTGTTGCCTTTAATGACTTTAACCCTAATCTTAGGGTGAAAGGAATGGTTCGCACCCAATTTTGTCAACCCACTACAATATCAACTCTACATCAATTATTTTCTTTCTTCTCTTTTTTCCAACTTTTTCAACCCACAATACATGAATATTTTCCCAATTTACTCAAAGTACTCAATTAAAAAAATAGAAAAACTATTATAAAGTCCCTATATTTTAAACTAATATGCAATCAAGTCCTTATATTATTTTTTCGGTGAAGTCCTAAACACTGGTTAATTTATTTAATTAAGTCCCGAATACCGGTTAAATTATTTAATTTTGGACAATTTGTCAGATTAGCCGTTTAATCTAAAAAGTTGTCCAAAATTGAATATTTTAACTGGTATTTGGGATTTCTTTAGAAACAAATATAAGGACTTAATTGAATATGAGGTCAAAATGTAGAGACTTTATATGAGATTTCCTTAAATGTAAATTCTTGTTTTTTATTTTCTATAAATTCTTTAAAAAGTTTCAAACTTGAACATTTGAGAGTATAGATTTAGAGTTTTTTGAAATGAAATAATATAAGCTTTTGATCTGGATGAACTCTCAAAAGAGTTCCTGTTAGATTTTGGGTCTAATATTATCGATATTTAGTTGGATAATTTTCTATGATCATGATTGTAATCACTTTCAGACCGCTTTTAAATTTGAAACACAGAAAGTACCTTGCTATTTTGTGTTTTGAGAGATAGAGAGAATCTGACATTCCCATGCTCAATGAGTATTTCTCCTTTTTACATAAAAATTCAAGAACATTTTTTATTTCAAGAAACTTTACCTTAATGGGCTTCAAGTCAAACGAAACCACAACCCTAACAATCTCATTGATCTTATGTAGAGAAGAAAAAAAAAGAAAGTTTTAGCATCAAGAATAGATACATAGTAACATAGATCGGTCCTTTTATAATTTTACCAAAGTTTTACAGTAACTCAAGAATATAACGAACAACTCAGATCTCTTCTCCGACAGATGAAAAGAGATGAAACTCCCACTGGTCGGGCATCACCTCGTGATTGATCCCACCGATGTTGATTCCGACGTAAAGGCAAGCCTTGAAGTGTGCATCAATGATATCACGTCCAAAAGCCTTATCGACTCCAACCCACAGTAATATGGGCCCTAATTTCATTAAACATATAATTTCGTTAAATTTTAGACAAAATTGTAAGAAAAGGATATAGATTCGAGGCTACCGGAGGTTACCTAAGGTCTTGGGAAGCCTCCTTGGGGCCGGCCAACGACCATAATGTATCTTTCTGCAACAAGGTATATTCTTGTTCGATTCCATACCTATTACATGAAATTGGAAATTATAAACATCGAAACTAGAGTTGGGAAGTCATTTGTGAAGTGAAATCAGGAAAAATACCATGCGATTTCCATCTCGATCGACTTTAGGGTCTAAATTGAGAGAGAGAGAGAGAGATCCTCTATTATTTTTTAATTGTTAAAATAAATAAATAAATATTAAATTTTAAAAAATGAAAAATAAATACCCAAATATATTATAGTCGTTTCAATTTTCCGGAGAAACCATTTTCATATTAAAAAAAAGTCCAAAAGAGAACCAAGTAAAACTAAAATACAATAAATATATATATATATATATATATATATATATATATATATATATATATATATATATATATATATATATATATATAAAATAAAAAATAAATCATACCAAAACATTTTCACATAAATACCCAAAGGTATTATCCGCTTCTACTGTTGTTACAACGATTGTCAAAGGCTGAAAAAAATGTTAAATATATTAATATTTTCATCACAAGAGGCTACTTCATCCAAACCCTAAACCCCTTTCTTATTAAACCTGCATCGGCCTTCTCCATCTACAGTCAAGTTCATAAATCTGAAATCATGAAAGTCAGTCTGAAGTGTCAATACTCCGACCAACAGCATTGATCTCATGTTTCATCTTATTCTCAAGCTAGAAAGGTAGTTGCTTTTCTATATTTGTTAAATGAAGTATTAGTTGAAAATTGAAATGAATTTTGTTTTTGTTTTGACTGATGAATAGGCTGCCATTTGTGTACGACGGCTGCTCTTACAATTGAGACTGACCCACCTGTGTTCGCCATGTATGTTTATATTCACGTTTTCAGACCCTGAGTGGACCATTCTTTTCTACACTGTTAAAACCAACAGTCCTCTTCACCGTGAACATTCTATAATTCGAACTTCATAGTGAGTTTTCTCTGGTTCTGAGTTCTTTGTTTTTCTTTATGATATTAATGCTCTGTTATTGGGTGAAAGCTGGAAATTTAGCTTAATTTGATTTAAAGTAGAAAAGAGTACAGGGTTAGATTTCAATGCTTTTTTGGTTCTAAGATTGCATGCCAAGTGTTTGTGATATTGCCTCAATGAATAGACCCAAACCTTTTTTATTGTTTTCCAAGCATTTATATATATATATATATATATATATATATATATATATATATATATATATATATATATATATATATATATATATATCTTGATTTTGTAGGGTTTAGGCATGGATTCAGCCCCTGATCTTATTACAGAACAGGATGGAACCTTTATGATTGGTGGTGACGCTGCAATGCAGCGGATGATAGCTCCTGATTTTATTCGTCGGAATCAAAATGTAGTGCTTGGGGCAGTTGATGGGCACGAGAATCCAATGGCAGATGAGTTCTTTAAAATCTGCTATCAGTTATCAAATCTGCTCGAACGAATTTGTGAGTACCAGAAGAAGCAAAGTGGAGACACTGAAGACATTACCATGGATTATAAATATGATGGATCATCTGCCCTCTTGGTTGAGCTCAGATATCTGCACGGGAGATTTTGTAGCTTACTCTCTTCCTCGACAGTGTTTGTTGCTAAGATAGAGAAACTACAAAAGGAAGCAAAAAGGGACAAGACCGGGGCTAACCGATCATGGAATTTCATGATACCTGGATTTGTAACTGCTGTTGGATCTTTGTATTTCCTTGGCCACCGTTGGTTGAGTGGCTTAGGAATTTTCATAGGGGGAGTGACTCACTTCGGCAAAAAGTGGTCATCATCCAAGTTTCATAAAGAGGCAACGCTTTTTGACAAGTCAAAGGATTTTACAACATCGGTCATCACATACGCCACTCTCATTAACTCCAAAGTTAAACTTGTGGAATCCTCAATTCAGGAGCTTGATGCTGCTTTATGTAGCGTTGGTTCTGATGGAGACTACTTGAAAAATGAAAGTGCAAGAAACAATCTGAGGAGACTGTTGCAAGAGACTTTGTCACATACCGATGCATGTGCCAATATTGTTCAACTAGGAAAAACGGAGGTGATGAACAAGTGGGAATCCATGTGAAGAGGTATTTTATCTGTTTTTTTCTTTACACCTTAATTTACTAACTAGTGGTCTAAGTAGTGGTGGTCTAATTTCTGAGAGTAAGCTTCCATGGGATGTGTTTCAACTTTTATAGTCATAAACATTTTGGGATTCTTTTATATATATTTGATTTGTTGTTGGCGTTGTTTTGGCATATTTGTTTCATTCAAATCCCTGTTTTCTTATTTATCTTTTTAGTTTATTTCAGAAACAAATGTTAATTTAGCTCTATGTTTGTGGCCTTTTGATGCAGTACTATTTTGAAGAATTGAGGATCGTTGCTAGATCAAGAAACACCCGGAGGACATATGCAATTAGAAAATTGAACGAGATTGTCTATCACAATCAAATCATTTGGGTCTTTTTAGATGGAAATACTGCAATTTTTGTTACAAGTGTTTGTGTTTGTTCAATGAAAATATGAATTTTGATCATCAAGTTTTTTTCTTTTTTTTTTTTACATTGCATCTTTGATTTCAAGTAAAAATGATGAATAGGTAGGTCTGACAATCGTGTAATGTTCGGGTCGTGGGTAGAGATGTACACGAAAACTGGATTGATCCATAGGATTCGATCTGGAAACCGGATTTGGTCAAAACCAAACCAGTGACCGGATTGAAGTTTCGGACGCAATATCGGATCGACCCCCAGATTGTAAACCGGATTTGACGAAAACCAGATCCAAAAATCGGTTTGAAACCGAATATTTTTTTTTTCTAACCGTTAAAAAACGGGCGTTTTCGAAAAAAATCAATTTTTTTCTAACTGTTAGTAAGCTCCAAAAACGGTTAGTTTGAATATTTCTTGACTTTTATGACCTTCTAAACACATAAAAATGGATGACATTTGCTAGATTTCAATGCTATACAAAATTCTATGTAACACCTCGATTTTCAAAAAAAAAAAATCATTTTTAATTCACCAATCATTATTCAAAATCCAAGTCATTACAGAATTTTAAATCATAATTAACACAATTTCAGAGTATCCTAAAATCTACAAGACATCATAAGCCGACGAATGTATACAATCATGCCTACGTTTTTCCGGAATCTACAAAAGCACTTGAAATACATTTAAATCAAAACTGTAAGCATGAAACTTAGTGAGTTCTTAAAATAACACATACACAAATAATTAGCCTCTCATGACCATATCTCAATACGGACCCTCTGATCATGTGTCTTAGTGAAGACCCTCCAGTCTCACGTCTCGGTATGGACCCTCCAGTCATAACTCAATATATACGCAGAATACCATAACAACATAAGTCACGAAGACATAATGCATAATTACACATATATCAGTATAAGCAATTAAGACCCTCCGGTTAATACTACGAATAAGACCCTCCAGTCAATAACATAAATAAGACCCTCCGGTCACACATAAATTACCACACAAGTAAGTATAGTCAGAAGATTCACCTCAACGCTACTAGAATAATCCTACACTGTCGTTGCTGCTGCAAACCGACTCCCAAACTGAGCCAAACAACCCAACAACAAAGTCAATAACTCAACAAGGCTAAACCCCAACACTAGGCCCCAAGATATCCCAACTAACCAGGTCCACTATTAGTTTAAATCCATTAGGACCACTAAGGCCCTGTGTCCGAGTTTACTTTCAGCAGGACAGGTGATAGCACCAGCCCCTACGACGTTGAGGATCACCGATGGCCGGCAGGGATGAGCGGAGACGCCTACGGCGAGGAGCAGGGCTTTCCAGTTATCTACAGAGGAGCTGCGAACAGCACCGGATGTTGGAGGTGCGCATCTTTTACTTTCCTGTCAACTATTATTCATGATTTTATTGCTATGGTACTGCATCGATGTTAGTAAGTATATATATTGGAGTATTGTATTACCTGCTTGTAATTGAGTTATATGCCATCTGCATGCCATGGACGATAGGGTAGTAGTTCGAAGATATTTCCCTTTAAGCGCAGGTTCTTAGGATGCAGTCACTATAGCAAGTGCTATCTGGGATTGAAAGGTGCTCGGTTAGTTGACAAGATTGGTTCAGATCTGGTAAGGAGTTAGATAGAGCGCCAACAAAGGTAAACGTTGGTTGACAGCAGATCAACGGCTTTTAGGACTCGATACGGACATTATGAGTTTGTGGTGATGCCGTTTGGGCTCATCAATGCCCCATCAGCGTTCATGGGTGTGTAGGCCGATGCTGGATCAGTCAATGATTTTTTTTATTGATGATATTCTGGTTTATTTCAAGACCAGGGAGCAGCATGAGCAACATTTGAGGGAGGTATTGGAGACCCTGAGAGCGGAGAAACTTTATGAAAATTTCTCCAAGTGTGATATCTGGCTGCGGGAAGTACAGTTTTTAGGGCATGTCATCAACCAAGAGGGTATTTCGGTTGATCCAGCCGAGGTGGAGGCTGTAATGTGGTAGGAAGTACTGAGGGATGCATCAGAGATTTGTAGCTTCTTGGGTTTAGCGGGCTACTATCAAAGATTTATCCAGGATTTTTCGAAGATTGTTGTGCCATTGACCCGCTTGACCAAGAAGAATGCGACCTTTCGGTGGGATATGGATCGGTAGATGGCTTTTGAGACCCTAAGGTGGAGGTTATACGAGGATCCGGTTCTAGTTCTACCTGAGGGGTTGGATGATCTAGTGGTATATTGTGACACATCGATTTCAGGGTTTGGTACGGTATTGATGCAGATGGGGCATGTGATTGCTTATGCTTCGAGGCAGTTGAAGCCTCACGAGGCGAATTACCCCACGCATGATCTGGAGTTGCGGGCGGTGGTGTTTGCCCTAAAGATTTGGAGGAACTATTTATATGGTGTACGGTTCACCATCTACACCGATCATAAGAGTCTAAAAGTATTTGATGGATCAGCAGAACCTCAACATGCGTCAGAGGAGGTGGTTGGATGTGTTGAAGGATTATGATTATGAGATCCTATACCATCCAGGGAAGGCCAACGTGGAGGCCGATGCATTGAGCCGCAAGATGGCGGGGTCCCCGATTGGGAACATTTGTATGAGGATGATGGTGATATGATCAAAGAGGCTCAAGTCGAGGGAATAAAGAAGGCGAATTGGAGGATAGAGAGGATTCGAGGACAATATCCTTTGTTTGTTAAGGATAGTCGCGGCCTTTTGACATAGTGTGGCCAGGTATGGGTACCAGTGACAGGGGGGTAAGGCAAAGGCTTTTAGAGGTGGCACACAAGTCCAAGTTTTCTATAAATCCAGGGGCTACAAAAATGTATAGAGATTTGAGGTTGAGTTATTGGTGGCCCTGCATGAAGCGGGAGATCGCCTGGTTTGTGGAGCGGTGCTTGACCTGCAGGAAGGTCAAGGCCGAGCATAAGCGGCCTCATGGCGAGGTTCAGCCGCTACCCATCCCTATGTGGAAATGGGAGGAGATCACTATGGATTTCATCACAAAGCTATCGAGGACGACGAGGGGTGTGGATGTCATATGGGTTATTGTGGACAGGTTGACGAAGAGTGCCCACTTCATTCCGATTTCCGAGAGTATACCTGCAGAAAGGTTGGCAGATATTTATGTTCGAGAGGTGGTTGCTAGGCACGGGGTGCCAGTGTCGGTGGTTTCTGATAGGGATGTTCGGTTTATATCCAGGTTTTGGAAGAAGTTCCACAAAGAACTGAGGACTCAACTACATTTCAGCACGACATATCATCCTCAAACCGACGTTCAGAGTGAGAGGACAATCCATACGATGGATGACATGCTTCAAGCATGCGTGCTGGATTTTGGAGGAAGTTAGGATACATACCTCCCACTGGCAGAGTTCTCATACAATAATAGCTATCACGTCAATATTGACCGAGCTCCATTCGAGATGTTATATGGTCGGAGGTGCAGGACCCCAGTGTGTTGGGATGAGATTGTTCATCGGGTCATGGGGAGCACTGAGGTAGTGCTCAAGACCACCAGATTGATTCAGCAGGTGTGTGACCGGTTGCGAGTCGCGCAGAGCCATCAGAAAACTTATGCTGACCGACAGCGTGCGGATCTCGAATTTCAGGTGGGGGACTTTGTACTGCTAAAGGTGTTGCCCTGGAAAGGGAGTATCATGTTTCGGAAGAGGGGCAAGTTGGGGCCTCGGTTCATAGGCCCGTTCGGGATCACGGCCCGGGTGGGCAAGGTGGCATATCGCTTAGAGCTCCCTGAGGAGCTTAGTCAGATTTACAATTGTTGGATTAGGTGTCTAAGCCGATAACTATTATTGGTATGTATTCGACCCGAGAGTAGCATGGTCTATTTGGATTGCATATCATCAGGACAATTTGTTAGGATGGACTTTTGAGAGAAGAGGTTATATATCATCAGCCCATAACTTGAAAAATCTTTTCTCCATAAATTGTTTTATGAACTCCATAACTTGTCCTCAAGTTATGGATTTCCAAGAGTCTCTTCATTAAAAGTTTTAAAACATATATTAAACTCATATGTTATGAAATTGAAGAGTTTTGAAAAGTTTCAAAACTTGCCTCAAGTTTTGGAATTTGCAAAGTTACCTCCTCATATATACTTTAATTCCAAATCAAACCCAAGAATTTTAATAGTTTAAAATTCACCCTTATACTATTATAATATTAAAAGTTAATGATTATATATATATATATATATATATATGTATATGTATAAGAGTAAAGTCAATCTTACCGTTAGTAGGCCTCATTCATGAAGCCAATCTCTAAAAGGGGGGGGGGGGGTATAAGGTTACTGCCTATAAAATAACAGTTTAATGGGTTTCCACTCTCACCCACGGCTTCCTTGACTGGTGGAGGGTCGTTAGCCGAACAGGTAGGAAAGAACTATAATTCTCCCTTCATTAAAAATATAATGATAAATACTAAGTAACTAAACACTTATAAATTCCCAATCTTAGTTACTTAGGAAAATGTGAAATGGTGCTAACCCATGAAATTACACTTTGCACCTTTGTTAAGTCGTTAGTGGAGCGTGTGTGGTAAACCGACACACTAACATGGGACTGACAATGTGTGGAAAAGGATGACTTAAGTGGAAATGATGGAAAAAGGAATAGAACTGGAAATGATTAAGCAAATTGTCGAGGACAATCTGAGGTTTACCAAAGATTGGTTGCTCATGGACAATTGGAAGTATAGAGTAAGGACCATATTGACATATTTTGAAAAGAGGCAACTCTTGTTCAAAAGTGATGGTCAAAATGGGAATATGGAATTGTTTCCATAGGTGGAAGTTATTCTTTGAATCTGTGTAAGATTAAGGAACTTAATGCAAAGAAGGATGTTCAAAGGAATGTACTTTAAATTTGAGACTTCATTTCCATGGAATTGCTTTCCATTGGAATACTTTGTAATGTCTGTTGCCAAGTCTTTGTGACTTCTGTGCATAGTCATTACAAGGGAATCATTGCATATAAGTTTAGAATCTAACAGATTACAGTAAATGGCAA